CATTGGTAAATTCACTTGATAAAGCATAACGTTCAACTGTTGACGACTAAACCCACTGAGAATGAAAAGTGTTGATAGATTTGATTTAATGTTTGTGCTTAATGCTTTGAAATATTGAACAGCCATAAAAGAATGAACACTGAATGTGTCGACATTGAGTTAATAACTGATTAAAATATGATTTCTCATTTGTTATTAGTTTTGATTTCACTGCATCATCTAGAAAAATGAGTGAATGCAAAAATTCTCTATCAAAATTTGAAATAGAAAATGTTTCAAATAATTCATCCCGTTGTTTATCAATAATTTTATCCTCTAATCCTTGCTTCTTGATTGTATTATATAATTCTTTATACATTAAAAAGTTTTTTAAATAATCTTCTGCTTCTTTGTGATAAATAAATAATTGGAATTTTGATTAAATGCTTTAAAGATTCACAATGTATTCATCTGAAGGTGGACCTGAACGGTTGATATAATTAACACATGTGAATAGGGGGAAGTGTTAGCAATAATGATAATTTGTTTTTAATATCGTTAATGTTTTACCTTTATTCTGTTTACCAATTGCTGCAGTGATTGAATTTAAGTAACATTCAGAATATGGAATTTTCATTATTTTTCCTTAGATAGAGCATTTCTATTATCACTCAATGCTTCATTAATCATATCATCTATGTATGTATTATATACTCCCGCTAATTCTTCATAAGGGGTGGATGAATTTAAATCCATTTAATCAAAAATAAATTTATAATTTTAAACATTTCTATTCATCAATATTTCATCATATGAACTTCTATACTGTGGTGGTGTACCTGTTGGATGATATTTCAAACCTTCATCCGGTTCCATGTCCAATATGTAGTCCTAGTAAACCAAACCTGAGGAGGATTTGTCACCTTTGAACAGTAAGTGTCATTTTCACCCTGAATGATTGGATAAGCTTTCACTTGTACTGTAACTTGTGAGTTGAAAGTTTCTAATCCATCAAAGAAATATACCGCTCCATCACGTTGAACTGGAATAGTGCATAAGAATGAAGTTTGGTCTTTCCATGTTCTAGCTAATGGCATGCCATCATCATCATTCAGTGGTCTAGTTAATGAGTCCTCGTATTCTTCCGTGCATTCATTACCTCCATCTAAATCAGAAGCTTGAAGCATACGTGTAAAGAATATGTCACCCACTGTGGTCATCGCTTGATTGGGGAAGTTTCTGGGATCTATAGTGACCTGAAGACCTCGAAGCATTGGATTTTCTAAAACCGTTCTTTGCATTGCATTCTTCGGAAATGTTAACACAACATCTGTAACATTATGAAGAAGTATGAGAAATCTGAGCTAATACCTTCAGGAGTGATGCAACCTCCATTTAGTGAACGAACGTCAATATGTTGAGCTGGAATCATGAATGGATCTTCCTTACTAAATAAACGTGGTATTGCTTTAACTGATTCTTCAATTAAACCGTATCCTGGTGTAATGCATTTATCCTCTAAAACTTCCATCTTTGTGCATGAAATAATAACGTCATCAACTGTTGCGTCAGCAGATGTAGCGGCTAAGCTTGTAATTAATTTGGTAGGAAGTCCGATTTGTTGGAATTTGCGATCATATTTATAAACATGATTCATAATCTTTTCATAATTTTCATCAGTTATCTTTTCATAAACGTAATTTTGTAAATCAGCAACTCTTAACGGGTCAACCTGACAAAATACTAAAGTATCCCTGAAAACATAATATTTAAGAATGATATCACCAAATGATTTAGGATAATCATCGAACGCCTGAAATGCTAACAAATCATTTACCGGAATAATCATATCAAAAGTGACATCAACTTCTTCATTTGCTTTCTTGAAAACTTCTGAAGGGTCAATATACTTACCACATACTGAGTTATCATATTTTTGAACATTATTATATAACGAATGAACAAACTTTTTAACTTTCCTTTTTGATTTTGGTTTATATGTTGCAAATGCGAAAGATTCACGGGCGCAATCCATCTGAAGATAACCGGCATCACTCCTTTCGGTTTCTACTTCTAATTGTTTAAAGCTTTGATTTTGATGATTTGTAACCAACGAATAAACGCATGCATTTAAAAGCGGCATCACATGTGAAAGCTTTATTTGAAACTAGAGTTGCTTTAACTTTGCGTTTAATATATGTGTCACCTAATTGATTCACATCATGAGCCGGATTTGTAATTCTTAAATGAGTTTGTTTATCATCAAATATGGAGCATCAGAGTCATAGCATGAACTTTCAAGTTCTCTATAATATCTTCTACCGTCATTCTTTGCGAATATTTCATTTATCTTTTCGAATGAATGAAACACATTTCCATTAATCTGTTAGTGTTTGGCACCAATAGTTAGTCGTCATTTATTAATAAATAAAAAATCAAAATTAAAGATGAAAATGAATTTTTAATTTTAATGAAATAATCAACTATGGCTGCAGGTATATTTAAGAAACTGTGGGATAAAGTAAAAAGAGGAGCGAGTAAAGTTTGGGAAACATTGAAGAAGGGAGCAAATTGGATATTTAAGAATAAAGAAGCAATTAGTGACATTGCTGAATCAATAACACCAAAAGCTGCCCCAATAAGAGAAGTTTTAAATAAAGGAGAAAAAGTTTATCAAAGACTAAACCGATACTAAGATAAAAATAATTTTAAAATAATTTATTTCCACTATCTACCTCCTATTTTATTAAGTATTCCTTCAGCTATTCCACCAATTGCGTTACCTGCTTGTGCTCCCATCGCCGGATTACCTGCTTTAGTACCTAATACTTCACCTATGATAGTTCCTGCCGTTTTCGCTACTGGTGCCAAAAAGTTTGCAATGGGTTTAATAATCTTTTTATGAACCCAACCCGCAGCTTTCTTAATTCCATCCCATAATTTTTTAAAGAATCCTGCCGCCATATCTGATTTAATATTAATTAAAAAAAATATATTTCATCACTTATATTCTAATTTTTATTTAATGATAAATGAAACCGATTTTAAAAATAAATGAAACAGAGGAAGAAATAAATGAAAGTGAAAATGTTCAACAAAAAATAAACGTTGTTAAACCAATTACTGAAATAAAAATTTTTTCATCTGTTGAAGAATTTAATGACTATTATGCTATAATAAAAAATTATTTGAAGAATTGACAACGTGTAAATTGAATAAAATGTTAAAGTTGATGGATTCAAAATTTCAAAAATAAAGGGGGTGGTTAGTTTGAAATCTATTCCTCAATCAAGAATCACCTCATTAATGAAAATAGATGATTTAACAAAAAAGAATAGAAGAGATTGAAGAAAGAATGAATCAAATAATTGATTTCATAAATTCAAATAATCATTAGTTTTCTTAAAGTTCAATGTTGAACTCATCAAATTCTTCTTCATCATTACCATTACCTTTAGCGAGTTTATTTACTCTTTCAACTCTATCTTTTGATAGTCTTGCGTTTAATTTTTTCTGAAGTTTTTCGTTACCAAGTTCTAAAATTTTACATGGATGATATTTAAACCCGTTAAATTCTTTTTCCTCAGTTTTAATCATTAATCTACAAAAAACTTTAGTGAGGTGGTTTTGTTGTTTAAACCATTTATCCTTAATATTTGTTATAAATTCAATATCTGGAATTAATTCCCAAATTTTTGAATTTTCGATTAATTTACCATCAAATGCAAAAGCAATGGGTTTAATATTAAACTTACCTTTATAAAATAAACTTTGTATGTAATCATCAAAATAAGCGTCTACTTGTTTAACCTGGGTGAGAATTGGTGAAAGTTTATCCATTAATTGATTCACAGTCACGAATTTTGATTCACTCATTTCATACAAAATAAAAAAATAAAATAATAAACATAACTAAGTTTTAATTTTTCGTAAGACATGAATTTCTAATTTCTTTGATTATGACTCCATTGATTCCATTCAGGATTTAAACAATGTTTAATTAATTGCGGAATATCTGACATCATCTATATATAGCTTCTTTTATAAAAGATAAAAAAAATTATTTTAAAATTAATGTTAATTTTTTAATGATTTATTTCATTATGTTTGGGCTGAGTGTAAATGTCTTACAATTTTGAAAATTTTTTAAATCTTGATTTATTCAAAAACGTAAGAATAAAAACCGTAAGAATCATACATTTTTTACTTCATATGTTAAAAAAATGATACAAAATCGCTCGATATTGTATGAATTCTTACGTTTACAAAAAAAGTCACTAAACCCATCATATACTACTACTATTATGAGAAACAAACAAAAATGAAAAAGATAGGAATAGCAATGAATAGTGATGTGGGTATAGAAAATGTAAGAGATATGAATGCAAAGCAATCAGTATTTAGGATATTGACCATAGATTTCGAAAAAAAAATGCTGCATATTGAGCGAAAACTATGATTATATTATAAGGCTGTCATTTAAAGCATAATGAAACTATTCCCTTTTCATTTTAATCGAATAAGATAGTAAAGATTTTTGAATTAGCTAGAAACTGATGAGATGTTTTCACAAATCAGATTTTTAATCTCTATAATGCATAATTCGCTCAATATCTCAATTTTGATATTGCGAGATATTTTTGCTATCGGTTTCGCAATTTTGACACAATAGCAAGAGGGTTCTATAAGCATTATTATCAACTTAGAATCTGAATATCATATCAGAAAATGTCGCAAATCTGACATTTACCCGACCAAATAGCAAAAATAATTGAATACTTTTCGCAAAAACTTTAAAAATCGATAAAAACATGAAATATAGATATTAAAGAGACTTTTTATATAATATTCATAAAGATTTTCCAAAAATATGATACCGCAAAATTAAAAAAGTGACGTCTTGAGTGGAGTCAAATGTCGAAATTGCTAGCTAAATGTTTTTTAGCGAAATTGCGTATTGTACGTTTTTTTCGCAAAACGAAACCCTTATGGTATATTTTATAAAAATAAAAAACAAGATTTTATTCTTCTTCTTCCTCTTCTCCCTCTTCGGGATCTTCTTCGTTATTTCCATCCTCTTCGAAGCACATCACGTCACCGATAGGATGCTCTATCTGGTCAATGCTCGGGTGTTCGAGCTGTAAATGCTTTGGAATCAGCTGTTTGATGAGATCTGGACCAATGAAAGACATTTCCTCAGCTGTGAAGTCAAATAGCGGAGGAAGTTCCTTTCCATTAGGTAGCGAACAGTTAGAATCCCTCAATTCATCGAAAAATGGATGAAGTAAGGCAACATATCCGCGAAGTCTGTTTTGTGGATTGTAGACGCATAATTTTGATACAAGATCAACTGCTAATGGATCAGCTGATGCTCTAAATGCACTTTTCCATGGTAATGGTGGCAGCGATGGTAAATCAAATTGAGCACACTGCGGATTCATTGCTACAAGCTGAGAATGTGTAGGGGAACCTAATATATGTATGATAGCAAGTAATTGCTCGGGGTTGCTTTCGCCATTGAACAAAGGCTGACCTAATAACATTTCAGCAATTACGCAACCAGCTGACCATATATCAATTGCACCATCGTAATGCGATGCGCCAAGGATAAGCTCTGGAGCACGATACGGGCGAGATGTAATGTAAGAAATACTTTGTTCGTTAGTTTTAATGAATTTTGCAGAACCAAAGTCGCACAGCTTTAAATGACAGTTCGATGGATGCAAAAGTATATTTAGCGGCTTAATATCTCTATGACAGATCTTTTTGGCGTGAAGATATGCTAAAACTCTTAAAAGTTGGTAAGAAATCAATTTAACTAGAAATGTTGGAAGTGTCTGCCCAACAGCAAGATATTGGCGCTCAACACCTGCAAGGTTTTCTGGAACATATTCAGTAACGAGATTTAAGTAAAGCATTTTAGTGGATTGGGATTCACTCACAAAGTGATGAATGAGCGTTAGACAATTTGGGTGGTGAATTGTTTGAAGAGTTTCTAATTCGCGGGATTTATAACGTGTATCTTCACAAATCTTTTTTAGAGCGACACGCTCTCCAGTTTCAAGGCTATAAATAAGATAAACAGTGCCAAAAGCACCTTCTCCGATGACTTTCTCAATAGTATAGCGAAAGCCGCAGTGATTACAGACACGGCGACCCGCAGAAGTCATCTCAGAAAAATTCTCTACTGTCACATTTACTAATCGGAATTTTGAACACTTCAGAACATTTGTTTACATCGTTTTTGCTAGTATAATTTTATTAGAATTAGCTATGCTGACGTATATGATTTCATGATGCATCATAATCTAATCTATTATATGAGTATCTTTTTCATTTACTGTTTTTATTCACTGAGTTATATCATCTAACTATAGAATTACTTTCGCATAAGCATGGTAATCTATTCGATGCTATATCTGGCAAATACGACTATACTTTCACAGCAATTACATCAATTGATTAATAAAGATGAAATTCGAGTAAATCATGTCTCAACATACTGTAAAAACACTTTGTCAAGACTTCTACACTAATGATTTTAATATTTGAGAGGAAATCAGATTCATTACATTGAAGAATTTAACAATAAAAGAAAAATACCATTGCAAAATTAATGTATATGTTATTCTCTGTATATTTCAACTATTAAAATCCAGAGAGCGCAAAATCTTCGGTTTTGACGGTTGTTTCGGTCGGCCTTTCGATGTCTAACAAGCTCAACGAGATCCGTGTTGCAAAGCTTTGCATCAATATCAACCCAGGTGCTGTCGGTGACCAGGTTACACGTGCTTCCCGCGTTATTGAACAGCTTACAAAGCAGCAGGCTATGCTTGCCCGTTCTCATCGTACAATTCCAAAATTCGGCATCCGTCGTAATGATAAGATCGCTGCCTACGCTACAATCCGTGGTCCAAAGGCCCTCGAAATCCTTAACCGCGCTCTCCAAGTCCACGATTACGAAATTTCCGGACGCTGCTTCTCAATTGAAGGCAACTTTGGCTTCGGCATCAAGGAGCACATCGATCTTGGTCTCAAGTACGATCGTGATATCGGTATCCACGGTATGGATCTTTATGTTGTTCTTGAGCGCCCAGGCAACCGTATTTCCCGCCGCAAGCACTGCCAGTCACGCATCGGTCCAAACCAGCGCGTAAAGCGTGAGGAGGCTAAGGAATGGTTCGTTCAGAAGTTCAACGGCACACTCCTTAAGTAAATTTTGCATACATACACTCTTAGAAAATTATTCTTTTTTTACGAAATCTTCAAGTCTTTAATAATTTTGAAATGACCAAAATAATTTTTTTACAGAATTTGTTTTTAATTCATTTTCCATTAGATATTATGATATCACTAGCTTATTAATACACTTTTGCTTCAGAAAAAAAATTTGTCATTAGTTTTAGTTTTTATAATGGAAGAGAGTTTGCAAATGTGAACAAGTACTTATATGTACATTGATTAGCATTATTTCACAAAATGATCCAAAGCAACACATGAAAGAATACACAGAGATATGAGAATTCGAGAGATTTCATAAAATTATTACCAAAATATTTCTTATACGCCACAAAGTAAATTTTATCTTCTAGTTTCAAAGGTTTTACTTTGAATGGACTCCAAACTCCAATTTCTGTGATGGTCGACAAAATCAAAGTAAAGCTGCCTAAGCTATGAAAACCTCCAAAGTCTCCTACATGTATTCTATGCATATCAACGGATTTCTACATGTTTACTCCTTAATTATTTTTGTTCACTTTGATGGAGATAACTAAAAATAGATAGTTCGTCGCTCCATTTTTGGTCAACTTTTTGAATCTTTCTGACCATGGAGAACTTGTTTCTCTATTTATTAGCTCCGGACATAATCCAGATACAAAGAGGAAGAACATAATTGACTCAGATTCTTCTTCCATTATAAATAGATTAGTTCAAAGTTATTATTCCTATAATTATTTGTATATCATTAAATGTCTCAGGAAAAATATCGAAGAAGAGAACTGGGCTTCTGAAGACACACAAAGTCATTGCTAAAGGTCTACCGAGGATAATATACTTCGCTTTCATCATAGGTGATTTCAACAAAGATCTTTTGGGAGTAATCACATTACATATCGGAATTCAGTTGATTGACTTTAATTTGACAACATATAAGATTATTTCAACGGTAGTGATGTTAAAATCCATGTTAAATGACAGCTAGGCATTGCAGATATGTGGAGGAGAATCATTCTGATTCTTATTCGGAGCTAAATCAATGAAAGATGTTTATTCATCTTTGATTATTTACAATCAATCGTTGAATCCAAATTCGAATATAGTTTGCCGCAAATCGCAAGAACAACTTATTTTCACTTTTCTATTTTCGATGAAAACAAGAGTGATGATGTGAAATTATTGGCACAATTAATTGACCTTATATTCCTTTATTATGATCAAAATTTCAAGAAACACGAAGAATTTATTTATAAATATTTGTGTTCTTTTTTGATTACGTAACTTTCGTTGATACTTGTTTATCTCTTGGAAAAAGATTGTTTGTCTTGTGCCTTTGCAATCAGTTACCATGAGAAAGTGCTTGGAATGCCATCATTTCAATCATTAGGCATTTAGAATTTGATTTAAAAATAGATGATACAATAAATAAAAAATTTTTGATTATTTCATTAAAAGTAGTGATACACAGGTACTTCGAATGAGCGTCGCCTCATTAAAAGAGGATAGCCTGGATTTGTTCACAGCAATGATATAGATAACTCAACAATTGTTAGGTGATATTTGCTTTGAATAATTTTTTACTAATAATTCTGTGATTCATATATTTTGTTCTTTATGTGTTATGAATTCTATTTTTAGCGTAATTGTTGATTACAAATTCGATTTAGATGATACTCCAATGAAAACAACAAATCTTCTTTAGCAAAAAATGGTACTTATGCTATGAGTAATATATTAAATTGTAATAAAGCAAATAATTTCATTTTTAATATGTTGAAGAAAATGCCTTCTATTACTTCCAAGTGTGTTTTTTTAGTTATACACTTGGGGAAAACCTCTTGAAAATTCCACATGAAGTGTTGGAAGAATGCTTGATTAAGAAATGTTTGGCTAATTGAAGATGATTGAAGTGATATATCACAGGAAATCAGTTTAGTTGTGACTACTGATGAATTTGTTTATTAACATTAATATTGATTTACATTTTAATTATTTTTTTTTCTTTTGTAATTTTAATAAAGAAATATGTTATTTCTGAAATAAATTGATAAAAAATATGGATTAATAAATAAGTGATATTTGCTTTGTTATATTCCATCGATCGAAATTGAATTTAAATTTTTAATTTGACTTTCAATTTTTAGTTGTTTTTTTCTAAATAAAAAAGCATATCTTGGATGCTTTAATGATACGAATTATGTAAAATGTCATTTACATTTTTATTCCTCAACGTTAAATCCTCTTAATCAAAATATTTATTTTCATCATGAAAATTGGAATTTCAAAAATATGGTAATTTTTTTAATAAACACTTTTTCAAATTTTTTTTTGAATGAAACGGGCACAAAATATTCAATTGCCTCTCGAAAAGGTGTCATTTTGTTGGTTCATATAGAGGTGAAATTTTTCGTGAATAAATTTGAATTTCGGTAAGAAATTAATTATCGTTCTCAATTTTTTTTCATGTCAAATTTTCGCATTTCCATTAATTCTATGAATAATAATTAGCTGATGACGAAACTATTGTTTATGATAAAAATTTTTACAATTGAATGGTAAATCTCTTTTTGATTGCTCTTTCATAAATCCAATACAGCGGTTTTCTTTTCTTTTCTTCAAATTTTCATTTTAAAATTGATCATAATGGACACAAAAATTATTTGAGGCAATTATGTTTAAATAAATGGTAATTTGGTTTATTTTTTTTGAATTTTGCTTTTGATATCTAAAGGTATCCACCAATTAGAAGTAGATAAAGAAAAATTATGTTTGCAATATTTAAGTTAACATGTTAAAATCGATGTCAATTATATATATTTCGTAATATAAATTTTTAATAAAAATACAATAATTGGAACATTCTTACATGTAATTTCTTAATTCTCTCATCCAATTAATAATATGAAATCATTCTATGAACGACAACAAAGAATTTTCTTCAATTAAAAATGTCATTGAATTCATTTTCGAAGTCCTTATTGATTATGTCCCATATTTCATTTTCGTCTACAGTTGTATTCTTCTCCTTCGTAGCTGTTGAATTTTTTAATTTTTTTGCCTCAGCTCTTTGTTGTCTTTTTTTTTTAATTTGATCTTGAGACAATTGATGGAAGCGTATTTTTACCTGGTCTGCTGATCTATTTTCGAAAAATTTGGCAACAATTGACCATCTTTTTTTAAAATTTCGACAAGCCTCCATGAGCATTTTATCCTGTTCCTTAGTCCAATCAGACCTCTCTTGAGTTAGGAACAGCTTGTATCTGTCAATGATAGACCTTTTAGAATGGTTTTCACCGATCTCTTCCAATATCTTTGGGATCGATGATACTATATCTCCTTCGTGCTTATTTACAATTCGAAGGATTATGTCATCATCATTGGCTGTAAATCTGTGGATAGTTCTTTTCTTCAGCATATGAGCTCGAATATTTCAATTTTCTAAGTAACCGGTTAGTATTGAATAATTGAATCACAGATCAAAATGTCATCCATTGATTCATCAATCGGTAACCCTTATTACAACATAATTGTATTTGGTTTCACAGATTTGTAAGATTTATTTCTAACTTTTGTGTAATATTCACAATTTTTGAACACTCGTAGACAATTCTTGACATAAGAATATTGAAAAATCCAATGTTTGTGATGATTATTAGCCTTAATTATATGCTACATTATAATGCCAACAACTCACTGCATATAAGCACTAGTGCACATGATAAGTTTTATAGTCACGATTTTGATATAATTATTTTTATATTCAAATTTCTCAGATTTTTTCATCCCTAACTCATCTATCACATGGACACAGACTACTTATTGGAACTAATAAAGTTTGAATATAAGATAATAAATAAAACAATAATTTTACAAAAAAACAGAAATTATTTCTTGGCAACCATTGGAGGACTTACAGAATCAATTGCTAAGAGAGCCCAAGTAGCAACAAGGCCATTTGGATATTTTGTACAGCGAATTATTACGACGAACGATGCTTCATTATCACGAGCGCTGAGAAGTTCAGCACCACATTTTGATTTGACTATTGCTGAGAATATCGCTTCTGGGCTTGTAGAATTAGTAAGAGCTGGTGCCGCCCTAAGTGAATGATAAGGTTTCATCTTCATGCTTATTGCATCTTTTGCCAGCGAATCAACAGCAAGAGATTGACCTGTAACTTTTTCTCTTTCATACGAATCAACTTTTGGCAACAAAACTTGAGGAAGTTCTGTATTCCATTTAGTCAGGAGGCCAATTGAGTTTCTATGAATTTCTATTATCTTCTTAACTTTAAGCTCAATTTCTTCTTCCTTGATAGGTTCTCCAACATCGTCTGATATTGATGGAGCAAATTTATCACCAGATTTTGGTGGTGCCTCAAGGTATTTCCATCTAAGTGGGTTCTTTACATCCCATTGAAGTTGGCTGATATTATCCTTTGGATTTAAGTTTGCATAAAGTGAAGATTCATTATATAAATAAGAAACTGTTTGGCATTTTACTGGAGGCTTGTCTCCAAACTTTCCAGTCATAACATCAAAGAAAATCAAAGCTGTTGAAAATGCAACAGCAAAGCATTTAGGTTGGCCAACAGCAACATATGCATTGAATCCAAATCCACGAAGAAGTGATACCAATAAATTGAGCTTTTCTCTTTCACCGCCGCATCTTGATGAAATTACAGCCCAAATTGGAAGAAAAGAAGGCGTTGCTGGAGCAATAATAGGCGACATCAAATAAGCAAATCTTAAACAGTGTCCAGGTGTTAGCAATGAACGCTCATAAAAGGGAGTGATGAAATCAAATATCTTTGATGCATTGTCACCAAGTTCATTTGCAACAATATTGAATGATTTGACTTCAATTAGCTGTTGGAGCTCTCTCCACCAGATTTTCAGCTTGACAGCATACTGTCTTTCTGCTTCAATTTTGTCTAAAGTTTCTTGTCTGATCTGAAGGTCTAAAAGCTGCTTATACTTAGAGTAATTCATGCCTTCTGGATATCCAAGTAAGCTAAAATTAAAATGAAGAACACCAACTATTTCATTTTGCAATCCAATGATTTCAATTGATGCAGAAGTTTTTCCTTCAGAGAATACTTTTCTCCAGTTGTAAGTATTTAGTCCTACAAATGAAAGATCTGGGGAAGTTGTAGAAATGCATATTCTCATAGGTCTCGGGTCAGTAATAAGTGTTTCTATTTGAGATTTTAGAGGAATTAAGATTTTGTGACCAATATTTGGGCACTGGCATGCTTTAATATTACCAATAACGTATAATTTTCCTAATAAATCGATTGTTATTTGTATTGTTGTTTTAATTGCAGACTTATGAAATTCGTCAAATGCCGCACCATCTTTCAATTCAACGAGTAATGAAGGTTCTGTTACTTGTATATCGTTTGATTGAGATTCTACTGATACTTTGCTTGCAGATAAATTTGATCTTCGTGGTTTTTGAGATCCATCACCAAAAGTATCTGCCATAAATGATTTTACGTATTCATGAGCATCATGCTGTTGAAAAAATTGCTTGATTTTGAGTTTGTCCTGCGGACTAATCTGTTTCAAATCCATTTCTGTATTAATAAACGTACACTTTTCATCATCAATAATATTACCTTTGGTTATATAACATTCTATACTAAACAACATTTAAAAGGTATCAACATTGGTCGTATATTCATGATATTGAGAGTTAGAAATTTTTTATCAAGACAAATTTCATATGTTTTCCAAAGATTGTTTGTGACAAAGGTGATGCTTGCAGGTTCTGTCAGTATGTTGCTTGCTATCCAGACATGTTAACTCTTCTTTGAGGAAAGAGTGATCATATTTGAGATACAAAGACCCACGAACAAGTGGATAGTACTAATATAATCTATATTATTAATAAAAACTCAGATATGAATTGTATTGTAAGAAAATTTTGCTTGATAATTTTGAAACTATGGCCATATTTAAACTGAACAAAGATAATTATTAAAATCTTTACAAATTAATTAAAAACGAATAAAATAAACAAAAAAATACGGGTAAGAAAATTAATTAGATTGGTTGAATGCTGGAAACTCAAACTCCGTGAAGAAATTGATGTCTTCCTGATGATCAATTATATATTTGTTTTGGTCAACTGACATATTGGGCAATTCATCATACAATTCAGTTGGTGAATCCAATGAATTGTCAGGAGAAGTTTCTGGTTGAACATATAAGAGATTATCTTGTGGGGGATTAGAAACACTCGGAATAAGGGCAGGGATAGTTTCTTGGACTTGGTAAATGGCTCCAAGTGGTGAATCTAGTCGTTCAATTAAGCTTCTTGACTTCAAATCTTTTTGCTCGAAATTAACCTCTTTATTGTAATAGTTAAAGCAGATCTTGCCATTCTGAACAACATACAACTTGCCTGGCTTACATAAATAAAAAGATAAATTGATATCATCTGTTTTCACAACAACTTTGTGCTGCTTGACGTTGTTGACCTTGGTCTTGATGCACGTTGCCCCGAGAATGTATTTCCTGAGAGAGGCCCAATTCTTTTGGACTGCACACTCTAAGAGGATTCTATGTCTGCTTGTGTTGCGGTCGTAGAAGGCATTGACTCCTGCAGCACTGAGAACTTCAATTAGCTTGTGCGCAGCATAACTAGGTTTCAGTTTAGCTAGAGATATTTTTACTTCATCAGAGGGGACGCAAGCAATAGCGTTCCAAGTCTTTGTAACACTTAGTCTATCACTTTGGAGGTAGTTATCAATCTTTATTTCACTGGGGAATGGCAAGGTTGTCATAGTAAATATGATTCCTGAACCATCAGAAAAATAATTGAATGAAACCAAATCACGTCTTTTAAACTTAATAATTTTGATACATATGATATAATAATGAAATAAGTTTTTTTAGTTGGAAAAATTTATAAAATTTTGTATAAATTTCGAATCTATGATCAAATATATACATAATTCTTATGGTATTTAAGAATTAACACGGAATTAAAGGAGGAAATAATATATTTTTCAATTTTCATAATTTTCCAACCTTCTTTTTAAGTAATAGCATCATATGGCCATTCTTAGTTCCGAATGTTATGTGGACGAAACAATGCCAAAATCATATATTTGGCAGAAATATCTAATAAGAAATCGAAATCATCAACAACTTGATTTGTGTGTATATCTAAATGAAAACATCATGCAAAACCTGCCAAAAAGATTTTCCGAAATTATTTCATGTTTTAAGATGAGATTTGGGTGAAATTTGTTTTTTTCATTGTTTATCAAGGTTAGATATCATAAAATTAAATATTGTGTAAATAGTATTTTTATTCATATCGAAATTTCTTTTCTACGTCCATTTTCATCAAGATAGTCATCACCACAATCTTTAAACTTTTTGACAATTACTAAATCATTAACTTTGAGTGGTCTTTGGCAATTTATACATTCATGGACTTGGCGCATGCAATTTAAGCATGTTAATGGCATTCCGCAATCAGGACATGCGGTGCTTGATGTATATTTATGGCAAAAGTGGCACATCGATCTTTTCTCTTTTATTTCGTTGATGAATTGTTGAGTATCACGAATTTCCTCACAAATATGGAAGAGTTCACCTAGATTTAAATCATTCATGTATATGTTTGGAAGTCTAAAGCGCATTTGAGTTGCTTTTTGACTAAGAGTTGAAATAAGGAGTAATAAATCTTTATAAACTTCAATTTGTCTTGTATTATGAGAGTATGAACATAATGATTCAGCAAAATCATCAACACAGCTATCAAAACGACTTTTTTCTTCATCAATAATGAATTTAGATAATTTTTGGAACAAATTTTTCATGAGATTTGTATTTTCTTCATTAATCAACTCCTTTTTCATGATTTCAACAGGATTTGACATTATTATACGTAAATCCATTTGAGTTTCACATTCATTAATCAATTGAAGTGCTTCTTCAGTTTTATTTTGATAAACCAAGCTAAGAGCTGAATGTGTAATTGGATTCATATCGCAATCTTCTGTCAATTTCGGAACAAAAGATAAATCATTATTTTCAATGAAATTTTGGAGACTTTTGATTTTATTTTGCATATTCTGGAAATCAGTGTTAGAGTTTGATCCATATCTATCCTTGCATTCATTTAGAAAATTCAAATATTTTCCAATTTCTCTATGAAATTCAATCAATTTTTCTTCAGTTATTTCATCACTTTCATTTAATCCTTTTGCCAAAGCAATTACATTATGTATTAATTGTATTAATTGATTTTCATCATAATTCGTCTCGAAAAGAGTTTTGATATATAATTTGCATAATGACAACTTGTCTTCAACACTGTTTACAATGTCTTTATACTTTTTGTCGCATGATTTAAAGAGTTTCTTAAAATCATCAATATTTACATAACTCAGAAGCAAATAAAGCAAATCTTCATCACCATCATACATCCTAAATACCTTTAATATGAAGTTTATCAGTGTAATTTCAACTTTTTCTGAAAGAAAATGTAAAATTATTTGGTAATATCCTTGATTGATGGCGTATGATAATGCATTACATTTGTAATCATCTAACATGTTCGGATCTGCACCATGCTTTTCAAAAATTTTTATGATTTCTAATCGATTGAAAAATGCAGCTAAATGTACTAAATATGATCTGGCATTTAACTCATTCCTAGCCAGATTGTATGATTCATATTGTTTTGTTAGCGAAATCTCGCCAGAACTTAATGATTTTTCAATTTTTTCTTCTGTTAATTTGTTCATGTAATTTAGCATTGCTCCTGGGCCAACTAAAGGATTTATTTCGTAATGTTGAATTCGAGGGAAATATGATTCCCAGAACTTTTTACAAGCATCTGCGTGAATTTTTGTTCCAAATACAAGTATTGAAACATCTTCCCAGTAAGTCCCGTTTATAAATATTGAACTGATAATAGATTTTATGGTTTTTGCATTGTTAAAATCAGGATTTTGAATTTCAAAATTTGGTCTAGTTACAAAAACAAGTTCATGAAATATATCTTGAATTCCATCGAATGAGCCATCCAACGCTTGAAGTGAATCTTCTATTTTCCCAAAATTAGGAAATTGATCTTTATAATAGTCTAAAAGATTATATATTGGAGATATCCAATCACTTGGTAATGGTTTCTTACGCAAATCGTAGAAATGTATACCGACAAGAGGATCATATTTCTCAAAGGAAGACATTTCAAGAAATTTGCTGGAAAAATAAAAGATGATTTTAATAAAATTAACACGTTAATTCTGTAATTAATTCGATGGTAAAATCAACTTTTTGGTTTTCAGAAATTAACACTTTTCCAACTTTTTGTTAGGGGCGCGAAGCGATCACAAAAATTTCGCAAAAATGTAAAATGTTTGAAATATCATAAACCAGATGAAAAATGCATTGATCTTGTTACATTCTTGAAATATGAATACCATATGAAGCAATTTTATTTTATATTGATCAATATTAAACGATACTTTATTAAATCGGCAATATATGCTATTCCATCTCTTTGTGAATATTTCCTATAACAAGATGCAAATACTAATGAAGAAGATTCTAATGGAAAACTTCTTTTCATTATGCATCAGCAAAAATAGTAAAAAATGGCCAGATTTCTTCTTTCACATTGTGCAAATATCAATTCAAAAGAAGATAATTAATGGACTACAAAAAAATTAAGAGAATAGAATCAGTTGGAAAAAATAAGAAGACCATCTAATTTTTTACGATTGTATACTGCATAATCAAGAGCGCTTTTTCCATAATTATTTTTTTTGCATTGATATTCACGCAATGCAAAGTATGAATTTCAGACGTTTCTTTACTATTATTACGTGCTGCAATATGAAGTGTAGTTTCTCCATTTATATTTTTTCATTGATATTCGCACCATGAGAAATAAGAATTTCAACCATTTCTTTATTATTTCTTAATGCTGCAACATGAAGTTCTGCTTCTCCATCATCATTTTTTTTCCATTGATATTCGCACAATGAAAAATAAGAACTTCAACTATTTCTCTATAATTCCAAGCTGCTGCAATATAAAGTGTGGTTTCTCCACTTTCATTTTATGTATTGATACTCGAACCAAGCGTAATGAAATATTCCAAAAGGGATGAATTATTGAACATCATTGAATAAACAAAGCATTTGTTTACATTATTAGTTTGATCAAAATAAACTAAAAAGGATTCAAGATTTTTAAATACTCGGCAAAGAAATAAATTGATCTCTATATTGTATTCATTCACATTAATCAAACTAAAAAGGATTCAAGTATTTATTTACTTGGCAAAGTAATAAATTATCAAAACGGTTTGTTTCAAAATTGAGTGACAGTTGTCAAAATTATTAAATTTCCAAAATTGGTTATTTCAATTAACTTATGTTCTTCAGCTCACAGGATATTATAGTGTCTATTGTTATTATTCTTTTGATATTATCATGCTTTAAACATATAGGAACAAATAATTTCTTTGGCATGCTATGCAATGTAAATAATGAAAAATATCTCAATTCATTCCTTTCTCAACAACCAATGATTTCCTATTTTGGAAAGCAGAGAATAGTAAATGAAATATACCATTCTAAGAAAACAACTTATGAAAGATACAATTTTAATTTTGGATCATGGGAATCTCAACCATTAAATATTCCACATGATGAAAATAAAACTGTCATTTTTAGATTGGAAGAAAAATATGTGTTAAGTGGAGAGGCACAAGACAGTTTCAATAATTTTTATTTTAAAGTTCAATTCCAAGCACCTAAATTAGAACATTTTACGAAAATTAAAGAGAACAGAACTAGTACACGCTTGGTTTGCTTTACTAAAATAAATTCAAAAATATTAAATTTAATGTCAAGCAAATATGGTCAAATACTATATAAAATTCTAAGAGTATTACGTCTACATGTATTTTTTGAAATTGTTTTCTTTAAACTAGCTGAGGAACAAATCCATGTTACAGTTGAAAAGAAAATCTCAGTAAATGAAAAAGAATTTCGCAACAAATTCAATAAAAATGTATCTGAAGCATCTATAGAACGTCCTAGATCGAAATATGATGAAATGAAGCATTTCGATCATTCAGTAGTTAGCTATTTAATATTTTGTTTAATTGTTTATTTTGCAATCAAATTTATAAAATATGATTCGCAGAATCAGCAAAACCAAAATTCGCCGAGAAGCTTTAAAGAGTTGGATCGACAACAGAGAGATAAAATATGGGAATTTGCTGCATACTTTTGAAATGAATTATATGTAGTTAAAAAAAATAGTCGTCAAGAACCCACTACCTTAAAGATGCTTTTCCCCTATGATAGAATTGATATTTTTATTAATAAATGAAAATATAGAATACATTCATCATCCTCTATCTTTTCATTGTTTTAAAATCTAAAAAAGATCTCGGGATGAAGATTCAAGAAAAACGATATTAACACTGATAGAAAGATTCTATGTTCAAAGTTTTATGTTTTTTATTGGTTTTATGATATTTTGGTTAATGATGCTGAATTTCGAATTCTAATTCGATTTCTAAGGTTAATGGGAATAACAGGACTATTGATCGCACTGCCTGTACTTATGCTGAAGTCCACCAACTATTCTTGTATTGAATACAAAAAATGGTTTTGATTTTGATTAATGATATTTGTATATAACAAATCCTTAAATTTGGAAACTTCTCACTTTATTCCCATAAACGTTATACAACAGAAAATGAAAATGTGAATCATTCATGAGTTTACGTTCAACAAAAGGAAATTGTTGAAAACGAAAAAGTCAAAAAAATGTTATAAAATAATCTTTATTTTAGTATTTAACATATATATAATGATATCAAACGAAAAAATACACATAAATAAATAATAACTAATAAATCACTGAGCATCTTGTGTTGTTGCCTCATTATTACCAGGATCCTGAGAAATTCCTTCGTTTTGTCCAGAAAAGTCATTCTGTTGGTCAGAAATGTCTTGTTTTGGCACGTAATCAGCAAATTTCTGTTCATTGTCGCAATCTTCTTGACCATCTGCATAATATACCGAGAAATCCGGCTGTTCTCTGATACCTTGTGGCTCCGGTGGCTGCTCTCGTCTGACACGGCCAATTCCGAAAGCGCGAGGCTTGTATTGTTGAGAATACTGATTATCATTGTAATTTCCACGAGAATTGTAGCCATGAGAGTTGTAGCCGTAATTTCTTTGGTTGCCATGTAGTTGTTGACTATAATAATTCCTGTTGTAGGCGTATCTGGACTGATATCCAGAATTTTGTGGATTTCCGTAGTTTTGTGGACCATTGTAGTTATCTTGGTTATAATATTGCTGGTTGTAGTTATTTCTGTAGTCGTTGTTGTAATGGTTTCTGTCATGTTTGAATCTTTGGTTATATCCGCCTCTTCCACGGAATTTTTGTGGTCTTTGGTCGCGGTATTGCTGGTTGTATTGGAACTGATCTTCCTTTTGCGGTAGATTCTTTGTAGTGTTCTGATACATCGCCATGGAATATTTATCTGTTGAAATGTGCATGATATTGACATTATCGCGCGGTAAATCGAATTTGCTGACGAATCTGTCGCGATCGGGAATGAATGTTTCGGAAGTTCCGTCTTGTCTAATAACTCCGAATCTTCCAGAGATGTAGACGTTTTTATCCTTAGTTCTCTGGAGATCATCTTCTTCCTCTTCATCGGAATCATAATTATTCAACAAACCTTTTCTTTCGAGCTCTAATTCGTCTTCAGATTCTGATTCATAGATTGTTTCTTCGTATTCCTCTTCTTCTTCCTCGCCATCGGCATTGGCAACCTTCTTTGGCTTGGATTCCTGCTCTTCTCCTTCTTCTTCCTCTTCTTCGTAGCCATATTCGTATTCGTACTCGTATTCAGCTTTTTCTTCCTCTTCGAAGATGATATCGTCATCATCGGAGTCGTTGTATTGTAATTGTAAGCGCATTTTGTGGCCAAGAAGTTCTTGTTTCTTTGGAAGTCTTGCTCCAGCAATTCCGTCAACAGGAACTGCCTTAGGCTTATCGTCAGGCATCTTTGGCTCTTCTGGTTGTACTTTTCTGTGCTTAATGAAGCTCTTTGGATCATTTGGATCTGCTTGAAGACGACGACGGAATCTACGATGATCAACAACAGGACCTCTGTAACTTGTACTAGCAATACTATCTTGTGGTTCTGGTTGGGCTTTCGAACCAAGCTTAGCTATTGATTTCTTTGGTAAATCTCCAGTTAGATCGATAATTTGTGGCTCTGGATGCTGTTGACGCTGAAAACGTTTTGGTGCAGGCTTTGCTTTATGTTTTTCTTTTGCTTGCTTTACTTCTTCGTCTTGTTTTTGTTCGATCTCCTCGAAATTTATATTTTTATTCGGAGCAGGAGTGACGGCTTGACCCTTACCCATAATCCATTCTGATGATTGCAATTCAACAATGATTTTATCAGGGATACCTGTTGGACGATCAAGTTTTCCGACTGTTAAGCCTGTTTTCTTAAATGACACTCTAGGTACATATACAGGGGCTTCCTCTTCTTCATTGTCGAAAGCTGTTGTAATCTTAACCATTGGCTTTTGGGGTTTATTCATTTTTTTTAGAGATTTCTGATTGTTGAAGCCAAAAAGTGACTGAGTAAAAATCTGACAATTAATAAAAAGATAGTATATACTAATATTAATACATATATTGAATTTTCAATACAATTTTGTGAGTGTCGCAATTTTGATTGGAAATAACAAAATTCTTATTTGATTATTGCATTAGAATGAGTATACAATGTGGCCTAATTTTATTCACAAAACAACTAAAAAATAATGTTTTGTTGGGGCGATTTCTGATCTCAATGATTTGAGATATAAAGTGGAGCAGTGTATCGTAGTATTTGATATCCAGAACACATTCTATTTCACCAACCTAAAACTCTAAATTAAATCATTATAACTAAATTTTGAATAAAAATTGCAACACCTTTGCCCAATTCAACTTTATTCATATGAGAAACATAGATGGTTTGTTTATTATAGTACAATTCATGTATGGATGGGTTTAATGGGCTAAATTAATTTTGTTTTCCTTAGAAGAAACAAAAAGTCTTTAATATTTTTTTAAATACAAAACAACATCTTTTTATTTACAATATCAATAAAGTTATTGAGCTGGAGTTAATTTATCTAATTGTTCTTTCCATCCATTCATATTCAGTTTGAGCTGATCTGACAATGGCTGGACATTTGTCATTGTTCTTAGTAAAACTCTTACCAATGGTGTTGATGTTTCGTTTAAGTATTTAGTCATTTCCTCCAACAAAACTTTTTGATCTCCTTTAGAAGCAACAACAGACAATTTGTTTACAGAAGTTGTCCATGGTTTTGTAGGATCGAATGGTCTAAACACTTCAGCAGTTACAGCGGACTTCAACATCAACTTAAGAAGCAAAGCTTTAGCAGCTTTATCCTTGAAATCAAATGGTCCTCTATTTAATCTTATGTCCATTTCTTCAATGAGTTTTGCGTGTTGTGATGGATCCAAAGAAAGCATCAAATCAATGCACAATGTCCAGAAATCATTGACATATCCACTATCCAAGTTTTCCAAAATGTTGCATGTTGGTTGTGCCAATAAATAAATCAAAGCAGCGCAATGGAATGTCTCATTTACAGGCTGATCTTTATACAAGACATCCAAAGCTGCTTGGACTTGTGCATTGACAGTAATTCTGTCCGAATGACCTAAATCATGGCACAAGGCTGCAACAAAGAAGGAAAGTAGCTCAATCTTTGTGAACTGAATATATAATTTGTTCAACATCATGAGCCAGAAAGCGAATTGTGTTGTAGAAACAGCATTCGCGAAATCATGGAAAGGTAATTGTTGATAATTATCAGCAATTGATGAGAAGAATCTCAATGCAACACCAATAGGAATCGTAAATGTCGACAAAAGTCCCATTTCAGTGAAAATGTGAATCAAAAATCTGTACAATTCGTTTCTTGGATACGAATAAACATCGAAATTAAGAGAACCAACAATACCTGTCAAAGGATCGAAAACTCTCAATCTATCTGAAGGAACAACAGCTGTTAATTCTGTAGGAGAAAGAGTTTCAATCAGAGGGATATCAGTCAATCCGAATTCAGCAGGTTGTCTTGCAATGAATCTATCAAAAGCGAGACCAGCAAAAGATGAGAAAGCTCTAAGAAGAGATTGATCTTCTGACGTGAATCTTGGCATTGTTGTTTTGTTGATTGCTTTTGCAATACCAACAACTTGTCCACTTGCATCTAAAACAGGGATTACAAGCATTTGTTTGGCCTTGATATTTGCAGGCCACAAATCTTTGAATCTCTTTTCATTCTCAACATTTTCGATGTTGATTTCGGATCCTGTCAAAGCAACATAACCAACAGCATCTTCTTTGATTGAGAACTCTTTTGCTTCATCACCAACATTTCCTAATGGTCTTAGTTTGTTGTGTAATCTATCAACAGCAAACAAGAAACAATGCTCAGCTTCAATAAGTTCTCTTGCTCTTGAAATGATGCTTGTAATGAGTTCTTCAAGGGTTGTTGATGTACTCAAACTCAAAGCGATATCAAGCATAGCTGTCATCTTCTTCTTTGATTTAGTTGCTGCTTCGTAAAGTTGTGCATTTGATAATGCAATACCACAGAAAACATTGAAAGCTGTCATCAGTTCTACATCTGTTCTTGAGAATTCAACAGCACCAAGTTTATTAATCATCTGTGTACAGCCAATAATGATACCAGAAGAGCTCTTGATTGGTACGCAAAGAATACTTTTTGTTCTGTATCCTGTGCTTTTATCAACGGATGGATTGAAACGTGGATCGTTATAAGCATCAGGGATATTAATTGTTTCTCCTGTTTTTGCAACATGTCCTGCAATACCATAACCTTCCGCGATGTGGATTCTTTCGCTTGTTCCATGCGCAACCATTGACCAAAGACCGCCTCTTTCTTTGTCTACCAAGAAAAGAGAACATCTATCTGCTCCAATGAACGATTGCGCTTTTGTCATGATTTTTCTGACTAATGTGTCTGTATCCAAAACAGCGGATAACTCTTGAGCAACAGCAAGAAGAGCTGTATAGTATTTGTGGTTGTTGAGAGCGAGTTGGATTTCGCTTATATTCCTTTCGTGGCTTTGTGCATTCGCTAAAGCGCCTTGAGAAACTCTTGAAAGAGCTTCCAAAATGATTTCATCACTGCCTGTAAACATGAGTCCGTTTTTCTTTTGTCTTGCAACAGCAACTAAAGAGACAGTTCCTTTGGATCCCAAAAGAGGTACAGCGAGACATGGTCCATTTGGATATTCACCATCGATGTCCCTGTTGAAATCAGGATGCTCGTTTGCAACAGCGACATTTACTGTCTTTTTTTGGGTGTATGCAACTCCTGCAATACCTGCTTGGTCCACGGCAATGTCGTTGCGGGTGATCGCACTGATATTCACTTCGGAGCCACTCTGCTGCTTTCCCTCGCAGAGTTGGAAGAGATTTCCCTTCTGTTGGTCGGCAAAGAAAATCTGAAGACTTTCACAACCGACAAGGTGGGTAACTGTCAGTTGTACTGTCTCAAGAAGTGGCATGACTTGACGTTCTGTGAGGAGTGAACGCGTTGATTCGGTCAAAATACGTTTGATCATCTCATCAATGCGAGATTCATCTTGGTAGATGCGTAATAATGAGAGAGAAAGGAAGTCAAGGATAAGATAATCGTCACCTGATGGTGTAACAACTGTACCTTTCGGAGAAAGACGATCAACAATTTGAATAACCCAAAGAACTTCCTTTTTCGTATTGACAACAGGCTGGTAAAGTACAACACGTGCATTAGAAATAACTGGGCCATCGTAATCAAGACTGTATGATGGATCTCTGGAAGGATCTGGTAAAACTAGTCTTTGGCCTTCTGAAATTGCCTTTCCAAGAAGTCCTTCTCCTTCAGGAACAAGTAAAGATGCTGTACGTGATACAATGACTTTGGCTGATGGAATGACTAACCAAAGTAAAATTCTTCTTGAGTCTAATAAGTTACGAACATTCTGTTCAAAAGTAGTAACGAGGTTTTCTGTACCTGATTCGTCGAATAATCTCTCGAAAAGTTGGTTTAATTGCATGTAACGCTGCATTTGGGAGAATAAAGCTTGGCCTGCCAAACCACGAGTATTTGTATCGTTAACAGATGTAATAGACTTAACGAGCTCATCTAGAGAGGCTTGATCATTCCTCAAGAAAGCACGAAGGAACATTGAATTTTCTAAAAAGTAAGGAGTTTCGCTTGTTTTGAAATGGGCGGATCCTGGCCTGTTCTTTTTACTGTTCTTCGCCATTTTTTGATCTTCAGTTTGAGGAATTGCAGCATTTCCAAGTGTTGGAATTCCAGTTTGTGTTTGAGCAAGTTGCTTTTCTAATTCACGACGATCCTGAAGTGCCATTTCAAGAGCTACAGCTTGATCGTTTTGAATTCTGTGTAAAACACGAATTTCTGCTTGAAGACGTTCGATTTGTTGAGATTTCATCTGAATTAGTGCTTCCATATGTGCTAATTGCATTTGATTTGCATTGGACTCACTTGTATCACCGAAAATTTGTGCATCAAGGTCATTATCTTCTGGTAATGTCATCAAATTTTGCTTTTGCTTTGGTTGAAGCAAATTCTGCGTTGGGCTACTAGCCATATTTGTTGATGCATTACGTCCTCCAAAACTTTTAAGAAAAGAACTCAGCTGGCTGCTCTGATCGTCGTTGGAGTTCATTTCTTTGAAATCGTTATTTTTTTACATTCAAATTTATTGGTGCTGCACGCCAATAATTTGTGTTTAAAAGCAACTCAAAATTTATTCCCAATTATCAATATATAAGTTTGATCACTCTTTATAAAGAGAGTGAGTCCCATATTTATTCAGATTTTCATCATATGTACAGAAATATCATTGAAAATAGTGTCTCTTTTATCTCACTGCAATTTTGTTTTTCAAAATGTATGGATTCCAAAAATCATAAAATAATAAAGTTACTAGTATATGCTTTTGTTAGTGATATAACTGGTATTATGCGGAATGTTGAATTATCTTTAAATTCGTTAGGATAATCAACATTGGACCAAATGAAGTGGGATTTCTCCTATTTTATTATTTTCAAAAATATTTGCACTAATTGCGAGAAGCAATTCGGATGTATCTTTTCAATTATGATATACTGCTTATTGAAGAGCGGTTCCTCTATAGTTATCCTTTTCATTGTATTATACTAGAAGAAATTCAATTATTTCATTTCTCAAAGAACAAAAATAAAAGAGGGCTAAATCCTTATTCAAAATATTTAATATCAAATAAAAATAATTTTCACAATAAATAAGTTTGAGCAAACTCTATGTATCTTGGAGTTGGAACAAAGATGATACATTTTCTGGTATCCGCATATTTGGATATGTTGATTTATGTAATAGCTTAACTAAAAGTTTCATCTCATTATATTGTGTTTCTAGTTCAATCATGTGCTCCTTTAACTGATCAAGAGTCCTAACCCTGAGGGATGCCTTATATTCATTTGTTTCAATATCTCTTCTTATTTTCTCCAGTTCATTTTTAAGCTCTTGGATTTGATCTTCTTCTGCTTTCTTTGCATCTTCTTCATCTTTAAGAAAATCTGACCATTGTTTAAGCTGTTGTTCACTGATACTAATCTCATTCTCAAGTTGTTCCTTGCGCTTTGTTTCAATATTAATCTGCTCTTCAAGATCAGTAACGATTTTGATTCTTTTATCACATCTTTGCTTTCCTGTTTTCAGCCAATTTATATATTTAGTTCTATTTGTTTTTTGCTTTTCAATGAGATCAATTGAATGAGAGATTGCATCCCTAACTTTTCTGTTCTCTTCTGATATAGTTACTATTTGGATATTCATGTTATTGATGTCATTACTCTTTGTTCTAATTCCTGCTTCCTTCTGGGATCTTTCACTTGTTGTCTTTTGAAGATTTTGCAATTGCTGTTGCAGTGCTTTATTAGAAATTAATCTTTGTTCCAAGTTAGTTTGTGCTTCTTCAAGTTCATTCTTTAATCTACTCTCTTGGTCTTTTAGTTTCTGTCTCTTTTCAATAACATCTTTATGTTGATCAAGTTCGGTTTCAATTGTTAATGAGCATTGAGCAGCATCAACTTTGAGAGCTTCCAATTCACGAATACAACAATCTCTCTCAACTTCCAATTCATTAATCTGGCTCTGTAATGTTTGTGTAATCTCATCTATGTGCAAATCATCTGATTTATCGTCTTCATGAAGTTTTTGATTGGCAATCATATGTCCATCTGTTAAAATAGAAACTAAAGGATTTTTCTTGTATTTTCTGTCTTCTGTCATGCCTCCACAAACAATTTGAAGGCATAATATACAATCTTCAACAGAGCTTCTGTTTCTTGACGCACTAAGAACATGAGTTAAAAGAGCAGGAAATTGGGAATCAATTGCAATTCTTATCAAAGTAGATCTCCATGCAGCCAAAAAGTGAGAAACTTCATAAAGTAAAAGGAAAAATTGCACAGATACATATGCATTGTTATTTGTAACTTGTCTCTGAAATTCAACAAATAATTTTTGTTGATTATCGCTTAAAATATTAACAACATGAACAGTGGATTCTCTAGATCGTATTAAAAACCGCATAATCATTATAGCAGCTTCTTTTTTGTCGCTATCCACAAATTTATCAGATGATATCACAATTTTTAATGCTTTAAGGAAAGAATCCTTAACTTCATTAGAAAAGACAACATTATCGAATTTTGAAAAGATTGCGAAGAGAAATGTAACACCAACTACAGATATAAAATTATATTGAGAATCAAGAAGCGTATTAATGATTGCAAATAGACAATTCATTGATGATATCACATCAACAAGTGTATCTACAGCGTTTGGAATATCAACTAATAATCTGAATATATAAAAAGCACTTGGACCAGCAGTAAATGTTGTACTTAAGAGAGCCCATACATCATCTGATGATAGCTTTGAGTTATCTGCAAGCTCTTTAATAATCCAACAACTGAGTTTGATAGCAAGTGGAAAAGTATTATTTAACTTGAGACTATTAATTGATGTCTTAATACTAATATCGGGAGATATTTGAGCAGGAAAGAGAAAAACAAGATTCGTTAAAGCAGAAAGTACAATAGCAACGTTTCTATTTGAAAGCATTTCTGCAAATGTATTCTTTAATTTGTTAAATTTAGGTTGCGTACGTAAGAAAGCTGGTCCTGTTGGACAATTATGTATTAACCCTGCAATTAGTGCTAATGCCCATTCAGAATCAGTCTGATTAAAGTATGTTTGGACAATTTGATATAACATCGAGAATGTTTCGGGTGTTTCAATGATCACAGGACTTTCAGAAGCAATTAATGCGAAAAATTTAACAATAACGATTAATTGAGGTTTGTAAATTGCCTTTCCTTTTGCATCAAATACGCTATCTTTAAAGAATTTTTGTACTAGATCATCAAATGGTGCGTGTGCAGCAATTGTCTTTAATAGTATTGGATTTTGAATCGAGATTTCATTTAAAAACTCTAAAACTTTGATGCATTTAAGGACAATTTGTCCTGATGTAGTCCTAGGTAGTTGATTTCGTGTTAACAATGCAAATATGTGAAGTAAAAATGTTGAAAAATTTTGATTATTTTCGAAAGATGATAGTGTGTTTGCTTCTATTTGAAAAGTTTCAATGTACTCAAGTATTAAAGCATCAACATCCTTTGGATTATCAATTTTTTTAGAAATTGCATCACAAAAGGACGCTAAATCAGTCATTTTATCGAAATTTTTAACGTGCACAATTTGTTGTCACTTTTTCCAAATCATTTCCAAAATGATTTTTCTCATCATTAAACGAATGAATTATTGTTTTGATATGAAAGTCAGATTGCTATGATAGAAAGGATAGTATATTTTTATTCAAACATAAATAAATTATAACAAAAAATTAAATATAATATAATTATGAAGATTCTTGATTAATATATTTCTTAATTAAAGTTAAAGCATATCTAGTATCAGATGATGCATTGTCTGCATTAAGTTTTCTCGTAATTTCTGCAATAACAGGGAATAAATCTTTATGTATTGCAGAACTGAGGCAAATCTTCGTAATTAAGTTAACATCACCCAGATCTCTACTCAAGTACTTGTTTAATACTATACTCGATGTTTGGCGATTGCTACAAATTGAGATCAGATTCTCTCCTGCATTTTTGTCACTTTTTGACAATTCAATCAATGCATCAATGATTTCAGTGCTGATTTGTATATCATTTGCCTTGGATAATATAGGGATTGCAATCAAAGCAATTTGCGTCAATTGTGGCACTTTTGACGATAAAAGATTTTTGAGTGTTTGGTCAGAAATTCTTTTTGCTTCTCCTATTCCAATTAAGCATCTTAAAGCTGAGCAACAGATTGCTCTATCACTAGAGTTCAAGTACTGTGTGCATTTATCAGCAACAGCAGCTCTCAAGTCGTCATTTGCTCCTTGTTCGGCAACAACTTCCATTGCAACTTTTAATATCTTATAACTCGAGGAATAAACAACAACAATATCAGCACATCCGTTTTTACAAGCGCACATGCAAATGTCATCATCAAAATCATTTGCTCCTGAAGGAATACTTGCAACATAATCCTTTAATATAGTTGCATTCACTGATCCTGTTGGTAACATCCTTAAAACTTTTACAGCTTTAGATTTGAGTTTTGTTTTTAAGAATAATACGCAAAAGTGACCAATTGTTACTGGAGAAGCCTGTGGGAACTTTTCCAATGTTTCCCAGCATCTTTGTAACATTTCTTCTGGTATTCCTGATTTCTGGAACTCATCAACCATTGAGTTCAGCGCTTGTTCATCTTTTTGTGCCATTAAAAGTTTGCTTTCAAATTCATTTTCTTTCTCTATTTCATCACCTATTTGCTGCTTAACGTAATTCATGAACTCTTCTTTGTCTCCACCATTGAAAATGATCTGGTTTTTATAGAACATTTTGACAATTTCTTCAAAACTCGGTCTTCTATCTGGATTTCTATCCCAGCATCTCGTGATCAAGTCTTTAAGGCCAGGATTCACTGTTTGTGGCAAAGGAGGCCTTAAATCATGTATCATTACTTGTGCAATGATTTGCGGAGGATCCAAACCTTGGTATGGCTGTAATCCTGTGATGATTTCCCACAAAACAATGGCGTATGCGTAAACATCGACTTTGTTCGTGTAGTTTGTTGTTCCATCCAATAATTCTGGGGCCATCCAATGTGGAGTTCCGATGTTTTGTGTGAGAAGAGAGTCTTCTGAATCGTAAGAACGGGAGTATCCGAAATCGCCGATCTTGGCTTGTCCTTCTTCATTAAGTAAAACGTTCAATGACTTCAAATCACGATGAATTATATGTTTCGAATGTAAGTATTGCATTCCTCGTGCGATATCGAAAGCTACAATGGTCTTCTTGGTGGCATTGAGCATTTTTGTCTTATGTAATTCGCGATATAATGTATCTCTGTCCATCCATTCCGTAATTATGCAGTAAGGTTGGGTATCTGTAGCTCCTACGAACTTAAGAAGACATGGATGAGATGTAGCTGCTAATATGGATATCTCACGCTGAAATGTTTGTAGTTTTATACCGGTTAATTTTTTGAATTTTAATTTCTTGATGGCAACAGGAAGTCCTGTTGATTTACACCTTCCGTAGAAAACATTTGATGAGATTCCACTGCCAATTTCTTTGATCATTTCGAAATCTTCAAGATTAATTCTCCATTGTTGATAAACAAAAGGAATTGGAGAAAATATGCAAGACCTTTTGTCTTGAGATTCACTCTCGTATTCTTTAACGAAGTTATTGATTGACTGAAGTCTATCTTCGATTAATTTTGTTACAGAATCGCTTGATTTTGCATCTTTTAAGTAAATCGAGAACGATGTTGCAATGGACTTGAGATCTAAGATATGGAGTTGCATCCATTGAGGAGAATCATATTCAATAATTGAAGAAGAAATTTCATCTAAAGCGGCAACATTTGATTTTAGTCGCTTAAATATTGTGCATAATAATGTTACAACTGAATCACTTGGGTTTTCAATGGTTGTTTGAGCCCAGCAGTGTATTTGATATTGACAAAATAATCCATGAAGTTCATTCAAGTCAGAGCAAATTTTATTATATGCTACGCATTGATTAGACGTAAGGGTTAGCGAGTCATCGACTTGTGAATAAGATAAAACAAATCTTCGAACAATTGTCACAGAAAATTCGAATTTTCTTTTGTGAACGGCTGCCTGAGATGATAACTGCTCAAGCTCTTGTAATTGCTTCGTAAATTCGCTTTTGCAGTGTGCGATATTAATTGCAGCCATTAAAAAGAAGTTTTCTGATCCAAAGTGGCATAAAATCAATGTTTCTCTCTCAAATTTTTTATATACGGCATTGTAAAACAATAAAGCATCATTTGATCTAAGCGATGATAAATTATTCGTGTTTTTCTTCAAATTTGAAATTTTGAAATTTCCCCAATTTGGGTTCTATATGTAGGCAATTTATATATACTGTGATTGGTATGTGCGAACCTTTTGAGAAAAATATCCTGATATGATTATTGCTATAAAATTTGATTCAATTCAATAATCTATCAGCCATCTACTATATTACTGATGATAAAAAATTTAGGTTTGGCAATAAGAGCACTATTAATAGATAAGAAAGAAAAATTAAATTTTTTATAAAAGAATATATACAATAAAACCAGCAAAATATATAAACGATTGGCACACTCTATATGGGCAACTTGGGCTAGACAGTTTTAGATAAGTTCCAAAGATATCCATCTCCCACATTGATCCAGTAACTTTATCCATACTATCTTTTAAGAAATTAATTCGGATCCGATTATAAAACAGTTCTTGCTGATGTTCAAATAATATACGGGCGTTTCTATGGGTAAGATTGGAATATGATTTAATTAATTCATATGTTTGACCATTATTTGATCCAACAACCTCAAAATCGGTAATATATGGATTATATATAAAGTACATCATTAATCCAGAATAATTGAATACTCCGTTAAAAATAAATTCGACATGAGGATCTTTATGTTCAGTATAATAACGTGAAGATGTATTTCCATCAAATGCATTCTCAATTCGCCTAATAGGGTCGCTATTATTTTCATATCTAGGTGTTGCTTCAAGACGGAAATATTTATTCGAATGCAATGATTGGGATTTGAGAATTGTTCTTATAAATTCATCTCCATATTGTGATGGATATACTTTTAATGATTCTTGAACAGTATATCTTGACTGCGAAATAAAGCTTTCTAAAAATATAAAAAAGTGACAATGTCAAAAAAATCGGGGCTTTTACAGACGACAATAATATATCCTAGAAAAAAATTCATTTTGATCAAAAAGCATATCAAAAAGAGTGGCGGACATTTTCAAAAAAGTGACACGGTGGTAAAAAGTGACACACTTGTAATTGAGGGGAAAACGATAAAAGTGGCATTCGTTTAAAATGAATGTATGGTTGTGCTTGCATTTAATTTTAAACAGGGAAAATTAATGTTATCAAAAATTTGGAAAGAGAAGCAAGGTAACAAGGCGAAGCGAGGAATCTAGAGAGCAGCTTCGCCGCAAATTAAAAAAAAGCAAACTAACCCGCTCGCTGCGCTCACGGATTAGCTTACACAAGAAGTCAAAAGACTTTACACTTTTTCAGCCAGTATTACAATTTTTTTCTTTATAGCTAAAAAAATAATATATATTCTATTTAATTTTTTTAATTTATTTATATTAAATTGCTTTCATCTTCTGAGTTTTCATCAATATTTTGTATCATATTTGATGATTTTTTACAAGCAAATATAAATCAATCCATTCTTTTTTCGTTATCCATGTATCTTTTAACGTCGTAATTATGGAATTTAAAAATTTTAGATTTTCTTCTTGGTCTTCTATTTTTTCGGAAGAAAAATTATTTTCGATATAATTTAATAGAAAAATTAGTTGATGTATGTTTATTAAGCCTGAGTCAATCATATTTTCAAGTTTTTTTATCTGAGTTTCTACTATTTGGGAAACTTCCATTATAAGTATAGATCCAAGGTGATGTGATTTTTGCATCCCTGGGATGGACGATACACCCAAAGTGTCACCTTTTTGGGATAACATGAATTTGAAATATCATGAGAGTTCTGCAAACCATATGCACAATATCTATTCAGCCTGACTTCTTGTATATATGAGTTAGACTTCTTAAATATTGTGCTTGAGGCGATATAAGCATTTCCGAGATTACCATCGTGCTCTATAGTATGCTACTTCTCCCTGGTTCTAGCTCAGTTCCAAGGATATTGGCGTTCAAGGATTTGGCAAGGTCCTTCCGAAGTCTCTCATTCGATGAGAGATTTCGGAAGAATCTTGCCTTAAAGTACTCCAACTCTTGTTCTTTTGTTCCTAAATAGTGAGAAAAGTTATTTGACTACTTAAGGTAGAGATTATCCGAGGTCCCTCATTTGATGAGAGGCCTCGGATAATCCCTGCCTTAAAGTTGTACACTTGTAGTCCATGAGAGTGTAAGTATACATTGATAGGACAGCTTTCTTCTGAAGTCTTAGATTTGATGAGAACCTCAGAAGAAAACTGTCCTATTTTATAGTAAAAGGAGTTTCAGGAGCTCCAAAGCTCCTTTCGTAAGGATTAGGAGCTTTGGAGCTCCTGGTTCGTAGATGTGTTTCGCATCTTTCATCAGCAAAGGACATTTACCATCTGGGACTCTGTTGATGGAGACTCAGGAGCTCCAAAGCTCCCTTTAGTAAGGATTAGAAGCTTTGAAGCTCCTGGTTCGTAGACGTGTTTCGCATCTTTCATCAGAAGAGGCCAAATGGTAAATAGCCTCTGCTGATGAGCTTCAGGAGCTCCAAGGCTCCCTCTCGTAACGATTAGGAGTTTTGTAGCTCCTGAAGGTAGGTAGGATTGCTCTGATCTCTAATCAGTAGATGCCATGCCTCATTATGAACTCTACTGACAAGAGATCAAGAGCTCCAAGGACTCCCTTTTTAGTTAGTGCGTTCTCACATTTAGTAGGATTGCTGATCCTACTAATGAAGTGATCACTTAGTATACGTTTTGAATAAATTGAATTTTTTTTTAGAATTTAGTATTTTTTATAGACATCACATGTATATTATAAATACATAAATATATTCTTTAATTCAAAAAATTCAATTCGGTTTTGGGATGGGTATCCCAGCCCCAAGTATTCAATTTTATTCAATTTTTAAGAATTTGGGTTGGGATGCCCAGACCAAAACAAGCTTTATATTTTGATGTGTAGATACGTATGTGTGCATCATTGTTGTTTATATATTATGTTTTTAATGAAAAAAAATCTGATTCAAAAAAAAATTATCACTAATTAGTTGATAATATAAAGAAAAAATAGATAAATTGTATGTTTTGAGAGTATTTATCCACATTCACTCATATGAATTTCATTAAATAGTGTCTTTTTACTCCCAAATTTATTTTGAATTATTGAAATCAAAGAAAAAAAATCAGAAAAATTTCTCGAAATTTTTATTTTCAAAAAAAATTTGGATTTTATATTGAAAACTGACACCGGGAGGACGATAGGGCTGGGATTGGAGATACCCCGCTCACTTGGGAAAAATACGGATCTATATTATAAGTGTTTTATAATTTTATTGAATTTTTTCAATCATTTTTTAATAATTCACTATCTATTTAAATTTTCAAGATAATTAATACGATGAATGATTGGTTAAATATGATTCCATAGATTCTGAGGATACAAAATCTATAATAAATACTATTAGGGAAAGAATTTGAATAAATTGGTAGTCTCATCACACTTTTCAATGCTCGATTTTTAAAAACTGTTTAAAAATGGAGCTTATATTGAAATAGTGTAGAGACTAAAAATTACCACAGACTATTTCAGAGGATTGAGTTGCCACTCAATCCTCTGAAAAGTCTGAGGTAATTTGCAAAATTAATTTGAAATATCAAAGAATTTACTAAACACTATTAAAATTATATATAACTGAATATTTCATATTATATTTGATGTATGTAATGGATTGCCAAAAACTATCATTTGGGAAAACAAAATTGAATAGTTGTCAATTTTTAGATTTATTATTTTTTTAATCATTTTTTACAATGTCTCAAAATACGCTGGTTGCTCCATGCAATATAGGAGAGTACATTGATAAAATGAGTTTTTTACGTTTTGGAATTAAATTCGAAATGAATGCAAACATAAAATTAGATCGTTTTAAAGTCACTAAAAAAGCAAACGAAGATTATATGTATTTTAAATGCCCGATGCCAAATTGCCCAGCAGAAATTAAATTTTTCAAAAAAGGTGACACATATCAATATCAAGGTGGATGTTTTACTCATATTCATACTACAGAAAAGGAAACAAAAAAAATTCATAATCGTATTTCTTAAGATTATTTTTAACTGAATACATTGAAAAAGGTGGAGAAAAATCTACAGGTCTCAAAAACGTTTATGATAGCTTGAAAATACCAATGACACATAATTATAAATTTTTAGCAATGTCACAAGATAGCTATTTCAAATTTTTTGAGAGACATTCAAAAAAATCGGATGATTTTATTTCTCCAAATTCAAATGAACTAATTTCAAGTGATATATTAATAGCAAGATACAAAGAAAGAAATCAACATGACTATCTCAAATTGAAATATGACATAGCCGATGCTTGAAAATGTGAAATCAAATTTATTTTCGCTTCGCATGAAATAAACCAGAAAATCGATATCGGTCTTCCATTCAATTTTCATATCGATTCCACATTCAAATTAATTATTCACAAATATGCTTATTATATAATGTCTACAAAATTTGCCAAAACACATTCAGTACCTCTTTTACATTTTGTGATCAAACCAGACAACTCAGAAAATATCAAATATTGCTTAAGAAAATATTTTAAATGGTCTAAGATGTCTCCAAAATATTTTATTTCTGATTGTGCTCTCAATATTTTCAATGCAATTTATGAGCTTTTCAAAGACAACGAAGAAGTCAAATTATTCTGGTGTTCTTTGCGTGTTATTCGTGCTCTTCGCTCCAATAGAGAAAAATTCAATGGTAACGATGAATTATTCAATAAAGTTCTCAAAAAAATGAATTATTTAAATTATGCGAGGAGTTTTGATGAAACAACATGCAATAATATCATCAAAAGAATCAAAGAATTAATTTCTGATAATAAAGAATTATCAGAATATTTTGAAAAGCAATGGTTCAATCATGAGCAACAATGGGTTGTATCATACAAACCAAAGGATGTTCCGCTTACAAATAATATTTCTGAGAGTTTATTTCGTACAGTCAAATATTATGACTTTGGTGGTCATCTCCACATGAAATTTGATTATTTCGTCTTTTTACTCATTACAAAAATAAGTCCAACTTATCTCGTCACATTAAATAACGATATTACCTTAAAATCAGAAGTTAAATTACCAATTGTCATAAATAATACCCCAGTTCCCAAAATAACACCAAAACTGGAGGTGATTTATGAAGCAAAACAAAAACTCAAATCTCTTAGTAAGCTACTCATGAGTGGTAAAGTTAATGTAAAACATTTTATCACTTTTGTTGAGAAAATACCCGAAAAACTCATGCAGATAGACAGAGTTGAACAGGAGATGTTCAATGTTGTAAGAAGAAGCAATGCTACCGATGAAACCAAAATTGATATTTACGGACAAATCTCTGATTTCATTAATCAGAACGATCCGCATACCATATTTAAGGGATACAAAAACTTTATGCTTGAAATAAAGGGAAAATACCATTTGGAATGGTTATGATATCTTGAATGAAATTTTTATTTTTAAAAATTAGATTTTTTTCTGTGAATATAGATCTAGTAGTTCCTAATGAGTAATAAAATCTTTGATGTTGGGAAATTGAAGTTTAATTAGAAACAATTTGGAGAATATTTTGGCAGTTGAACGAAGGAATAAGAGCCTGCGGAGTACTGACTCTAGGTCAGTACCCCGCAGGCTCTTATTCCTATTAGAAATCGGTGAAAAGTTGTCTGCATCTTAACTTATTCAAAGAAAGTTTCCCAGCTATCTAGGAGGAATTGTTCCTTATGAGGTACATATTCATACTATGCACCTCATAAGGAACAATTCCTCCGTTGAAAAGAGAAAACTTGCTCGCAATGCGGAACAATTGCGAGCAAGTTTTCTCTTTTTTTATAAGAAACTAAAGGCTGTGAGGCACTGACATATAATCAGTACCTCACAGCCTTTAGTTTCTACTAGATAGCTGGGAAACTTTGTCTCAATAACTGAGTAAATAGACAAAGCTTCCCAGCTTTCTTGTAAACTGCGAAGGATAACGGCGACTGAAACAGGCACTTATTCTGCTGTTCGAAGTCGCTGTTATCCTTCGTTTTCGTCGCTAAGTTTGGTCTGATTGGGAAATGATAACCAAACTTAGCGACGAAACAAGGCACTGCAGGGCGTTGTAGGCTGTATATTGGGAGTATATGGCCTGCAGCGCTCTGCAGTGCCTTGTTATAAGAAAACATTCGGCTGAATAACATAGTCATTCAGCCGAAAGTTCTCCTGAAAGCAAAGGGCAGCAAAGGCGGCAGACAGCAGCGGCCTATTCTGCTGTCTGATCTCGCCGTTGTTCTTTGCTTTCTTTGCTAAATTTGGTCTTTCACAATTAGACCAAATTTAGCAAATTTAAGCCTCATCCAAATGGAGTGATTCGACTTGGAACGAGAGTAGCATCCATACTCCCTGGAAACGGTTGTGCGCGTTCCCTGTTCCTCATCGATTCACTCCATTTGGATTTTTGGCAGTTTTAAAAAAAATAAACGATTTTTTTTAAAAAAAGTCACTTTTTTTGATTTTGTCTGGGTATCATATCAAAAATTTGAATGATTTACAAATCTCAACACATCAAAAATTCAGATGTAGGATCTCGGAGAAACAAAACTAATCAGTTTAAATATGTCAATTCATATCATAAAATCTAGATCTTATATTAATGGATGAGAATTGCAGCAATATAACTAAAATTAAATGGAATAGCAAGAATATTCTCTTAGAAGCAAGCAGCAACGCAATGTATTGCTACCTGACAATTTTTGTTGTTTGTTGAGATATGAAATAGAATATTAAAAAATGACGAAGAATGAAGAATATGAAAAGAAATAGGGAAAAATCGTGGTGATATCTACACCATGTTTGATTAAGCATTTATTTATTTCATATGATCCTTCTTTAAATACGATCGATTAAAGAAATTGATTAAACAATAAATGATCTAGAAATATAATCCTCTTTCAAATAAACCTGTAATAATTTGTTCATTATCTTTTGCTAATTTAATTAAATCATCATAATCGGTTCTACTTATAGGAATTTTCTTAAATTTGCGATTTGAAACTTCATTCCATTTGTTAACAAGTTCATAAATTATACCAAGAAGTTTCACACGATCATCTTGTCGGGATTTTCTAATCAATTCTATTATATCTCTTAGTTTGTCAAATACCTTCCTTGTTAAATTAATATCGATTGATTTACTGCAGGATGTGGTAGCCAATTGGAATGCTGTAGCAAATAATTCACTAAATACATCATAGTTTTCTAAAATATAACCAATAAATTTAAAGAATTGATAAGGGACTGTTATTCCTTTGAAATCACTTGCATATTGTACTGCCGGAATTAATAATGCATTTAAACATTCGTATTCATATTTTTTAGAATTCCACCTAACAAACCGAATTTCATGTATGAATTCTTCGATAATCTTTGAATAGTTTTCAAGATTTTGACAATTTTGAGCACATGAAATTAAAATTTTGATATTCTCATTCTTCAATTCTTCTTTAGCGAATTTAAGCTTTTTAAATCTTTCTCCGAAATAAACAGCGTAATTTGAATTAAATTTTATTGCTGTGTATGCTAAATTAATAGCAGGAGTTGGATCATTTAATTTGATTCCTCCCTCAATTAATTTAAATATTTTGCTAATATCAATTTTAACTCCTTTGAGAAATTGAGATTTATCTTGAATTGATTTTGAAATATAATCAAACAGGAATGACATCAAATGCATTAATTCAGTAAAACACGGATCATTAATGTCCTTGTTAGAGTCATTCAATGTATAATCCAAAATATTGTTGTTTAGTAGCAGCAACATAACTAATCTTTGATTTTCTGTTTCCAAAATTGATCTTAAATGCTTTGAAAGAGAAACTGTTTCTAAAGCTCTTCTGATATTTTCATAGTTTCTAAGAATATAATCATCCTTTATTGTGTATAAGAGATATATAATGGTATCAGGATGTAAATCTTTCACTGAATTGCATTTTTCAAGGATTTTTTGTATTGGTACAATATCTGAAAATGTTTGAAGGAATTCCGACTGAGGCAATTTATCTTCTTTGATGACCATCTTCCAAACTAATCTAAATGCGAAATTGATAGTTTTTTCATCATTGATCTTTTGATCAAAGATTTCCTTAATTGCCAAACAAACTGGAATGAATGTCTGATCGAAGAGCTCTTTGTTTGACCTAGAAATCAAATCGAACAATGTATTGTAATAAACAGAAATTCATCAAAAGTGACAGCTCTCAATTTTTTGACATTTGTAAATTCTAAATTGAATGAGAAAAATGAAATAATACTAAGCATAATACAATATTCTAGATTTAATTATAATTAGGAAAAAGTTAGTTTTGAGAGTACTTTTCATAGGCATATAGAATGAAATCTTCTGAAAAATAATATCACATAAACTCATATTATTTTCTAATATATAACTATTTTATATAAAAATCAAATTCAATGATCTTAAAAGCGAAGGATAAACCTCAAAATTTATGAATATAATAAGTGGGAATATAATGCTTATCTATCATAAAACCATATGAAATATCAATTTTTGCTTTACGCCTAATTTTTGACGACAATTAGCAAAAAATGTTAAATGTTAACACTCAGTCCATTTGAATATGAAAAATAAAATTGACTTTGATTAAATGTTTTTATTTATCATGCAATTCTTCTTGCGACCAAAGATTTGAATAAAAGTTCAAAAAATAAGATAGCTTAAAAAATAATATACGGTAGTGTTTACTAATAGATGAATAGTATATAAATTCTATTAAAATGGATTTGATCCAAAAAAATATATAAAATTTGATCATAAATAAAATCGTTTTCAATTACTTCTTCATTTAAATTATAACAATTATTTTTGATTTTTATTTATCATCCACACTCAAATTTGAATCTTATCACAAAAGAAGGACCACTTTTATGACTACTGCCAAATCTATAAGCAGAGAATGGCTATTTGAAGCTAAAAGAAGAATAGAAGAAGGTGAATCTTACAAAAGTGTGGGAAAGGAAGTTGAATTGGAAAATGGTAAAATTAAATTGAATGTTGCCGAAAATACAATAAGAAGAGCATTTCAACTTCAAGAAATCGAATTACCAAAAGTTAGTCGCGGCAGAAAACCAAATCCACCAACATTTGAGCAAAACAATTAATTAATTCTTGTGTTTCACAATATAAAGGAGGAATTTCAAAAACTTATTTATTGATTAAAAGTTTCAAAATATTGCTCAAAATCCCGATTGTGAGAAAGAAAAAGAAGAAATTGCAAAAGAATTTGAAAATATAGAAGATTTGACAAAAGATCAAATTTTTGACAATTTACAAAAAATAAAGCATCATCAAGTGGAAAAATTTATGATGGAATCAGGTTTATCTTCAAAAAGAGATTACAAACCAGCAGATCCACCTACCAAATATCGTGCCATATCAAATTCTTTGATATGGCACTGCGATATTCATTACCTTCACGGTAATGTTTCTTTTCCATTTTTTGCCATATTGGATGATATGACACGTAAAGTTCTCAAAACTAAATTATTGAAAAACAAGTCTTCCAACTCAACAGCGAAGGTTTTAAGAAAACTTTTAGAGAAGTTTATTCCTTACTGCATCTGGACCGATAACGGCGGTGAATTCGGCCAGGTTATGCAGGAAAACGGAATAGTTTGGAAGCACACCTTGCCGTATATGCCAAGACAGAACGGCAAGGTGGAGCGCCTGTGGCCAAGCTGTTCTAAAACTTTTGTTTACAACATATTTGCTAACTGATAAAACATCTGCAATGAATCATCGTTTATATCATAAAGTTCCAAAAGTGTGTCAAAAATATTGACGAAATTAGTTATTTTCATTGTAAGTAATTTTTCTCTAAGTTTATTTTGGAATTTGTTGATTAGTTGAGAAACTTGATTTTCATCTCGAAGCGTGCAAATCTTTTCAATAACAGACATTTCATTATTATCTTCATCATCTTCGTCTGAATCTGATTTGACATTATTTAAGGAAATAGTTATACTTTGTGGTTGAAGACTCTCTTTTCTTTGTGGTTTATCTTGACTTATTATCTCATTATCTGATTCTTCTTCCTTTCTTTGTGTGTCTTTTGGTTTTTGTTCGGAGTTGCTTGATTCTGGTGATTTTGGATTTTGGTTCTCTTGTGCATTATTTACAGCTTGTGTAAGCTCAGTTAGTATACATAACTAGTGTACTGAGGCACTGCGCGCCTCCTTACACTTGTTATGTGAATTTGACACTTTACAAAACCAGTAACATATATTTTTACAACACAAACGACAACACTAACTTAACATTAAATATTTACAAAGCCGCCAACCACTTCACTAATGTTTTCACAAACGACTTCACTAATGTTTTCACTAATGACTTCATTAATGTAAAAATAAACGTTCTCACTTACAAAAGTATTGCAACTCCTCCCATTGCTGTGCTTCACATAACAGCTCATAATCTTCTGACTCACTTTCTTCTTCATATAGGTCAAAATCACTGTCAAAATAAATGTTAGTAAGTTTTGACAAATGTAATGAAACACGTTTACCGTTTGTATCGTATGCTTGTATAAACTTTCCATTCTTCATTCCTTCATAAACGCTCAAACTAACTTTACCCTTTCTCCCTCGTATCTGATAGAATGTATTTTCACGAGGAACGAAGAACAAATTCTTGAACTCATGACCGTTGTAGTTTGTTATCTCAATAGTTTTCGTCATTTACATCCAAATAAAATAAAAAATAAAATAAAAAATAAATGATATCACCACCCTCACACGTATGAAAACATCCATTTAAATTTAGGTGAAGTGGTGAGATCTCACCTCTTTTTTCACCTCTTTTTTCACCCACTTGAATTCATTGCTTTATAACTCTCTTCCTTGGTTTCTTTTTAGTTGCTTTCTTCACGTCTGTCTCCAACTTGACTGTCTTTCTTCTTCGTCCATAATGATACCAATTACTTCCACCAGTCAATGGGTCAAATGGTCTTTCGTAAGGGTTTCCATACATTCCATAGGGACCATACGGAAGAACTACTAGTGGAGAAGAAACATTTTCTTTAGTTCCATCGACTCTATTTAAATGCATTGTTTCACCTTTCATCTGGTCATTAAAGTCTTTTACGTGTTTTGCAAACTCATCGTCCTTTCCTAAAGCATTTTCGGACTCAGTCGCAACCAAATTGGATGCTTTATTTATGAGCCCTATTTTATTTAATCTTAACTTCTTTGCAACCCAGCCTCCAATCTTCCCTTTATTTGCATCTAATGTCTTCGAAACCCTTCCTCCACTCATTTTATTTACTGCGTCATAAGCTCCAAGTGCTTTTGCTCCAAATGCTAATGCTTTTGTTCCCATTGCGCCTAAAGCTGCCCAAGCTACCATTTACACCATATTAAAATCATCTCTCTTCAATATTATCTCATAAAAGTTCTCGTTACTGGAGAAAGTCAATGAAATATAAACGTTCTCATTCATAAACTTCTTTCTTATATCATCTATACGCTTCAAAATGTCTGAACAATTGCTAACATCTTCTACAACAGTTATTTCATCATGAATGACCTTCAAGAACAAGCTCATTTAATATGCAATTAAAATCATTTCAATAATGAGCCCATCTTTTCCATCTTTAGGTAGCACAACATCTTTCATTGAAGAAGGTTCGACAAGTCTTATGTTAAACTTACTGACAAAGTTTGTTATACTATAATGCTTCGGTGGCGAATACATATAGTTTGAAAGACATAATATAGATTCTTCAGCAAATTCACTTATACTGGATTTTATAACAATGTTCTCACGAGACCAAATACCACCAATTGAAAAACTTGTAAGTAATCCTGCTGAACCTTCAACTGTAAACGTCGATGGTAACATTCCACGAAGGTCATCTATTGACATCTTTGAGTCACTGAATTTAAATATTTTCTTAAAGCAATCGTCATTATCTAACCATGCAATAGCTTTGAAGTTTTCATTCGAATATACATCTGCTTCATTAAATGTAAAACCTGACTTCTTTGCAGAGACGACTTTAAAATCTATTGAGTTTGTTTCAAAATTATATGCTATGGTAACTTCTGAAGGTAATGGATGTCCTTCCGCAGTCAGTTGTTCTCTCACTACCGTTTGAAGCTTTGTATTAAAAACTTTCATGTCATCTCCTGTGTCTAGGTTCACATACACAGCAACAGGAAAACTATCTTGCTTCTTTGTTTCATCATTATACCTCAAAACATTAAAGTTCTTCAATAATATTGTTCTTCCTGCTGGAATACTTCGAACCTGTCTTATTTCAATAGCTTTCTCACCTCCTACATACTCTACCCAGTGTCTTGGATATTCATAAGTATACTGACTTTCTTGAATTTTGGTTGGTTTCATCATAACGTGTTCATAGTATATCTTTATACTCTTGTCAGTTAGACTCGGTGCTATGTTCTGAATATTTCTGACTTGCATTTTTAATGGAGATAAAATGAAGCATTTAATACATGATGTAGATGAAGACATGAATGAAACTACAGACAAACTTAACTCTTCTCTTATTCTTCCTTTCAGTAAGGACTATGAGTTCTGTTCAAATGGTGTTTATTTCTATTGTGGAAAGATGGGTTCAGGTAAGACATTTAACCTCATTCGTCATATACTCATAACAGAGCGTTTAGGAAACGACTCTTATTATGACCAAATCATTATATCAGCAACTTCAGACTCTATGGATTCAACAGCGAAAACATTTATGTCAAAAGTTCAAGCCTCTATCGTTAAAGTTCCAGACAGTGAACTCATTGAATTTCTTCAACGTTACATTCGACGTAAGAGAAAATATTATGCCATCGTAGAGTTCATACATTCAGGAATGCAAAAGACTTCTGAGGAGATGGAAAGAATTATTGACAAACACCACTTACGACAATACTCAGGAGTTTACGATATGAAACGACTTACAAACTACATTCTGTCAAAACTTTCAAAATACCCCTTCAAAAAGTATCCTTCAAATATAGATCCGTATTTTTCCCAAGTGAGCGGGGTATCTCCAATCCCAGCCCTATCGTCCTCCCGGTGTCAGTTTTCAATATAAAATCCAAATTTTTTTTGAAAATAAAAATTTCGAGAAATTTTTCTGATTTTTTTTCTTTGATTTCAATAATTCAAAATAAATTTGGGAGTAAAAAGACACTATTTAATGAAATTCATATGAGTGAATGTGGATAAATACTCTCAAAACATACAATTTATCTATTTTTTCTTTATATTATCAACTAATTAGTGATAATTTTTTTTGAATCAGATTTTTTTTTCATTAAAAACATAATATATAACACAACAATGATGCACACATACGTATCTACACATCAAAATATAAAGCTTGTTTTGGTCTGGGCATCCCAACCCAAAATTCTTAAAAAATTGAATAAAATTGAATACTTGGGGCTGGGATACCCATCCCAAAACCGAATTGAATTTTTTGAATTAAAGAATATATTTATGTATTTATAATATACATGTGATGTCTATAAAAAATACTAAATTCTAAAAAAAAATTCAATTTATTCAAAACGTATACTAAGTGATCACTTCATTAGTAGGATCAGCAATCCTACTAAATGGTGAGAACGCCACTAACTAAAAAGGGAGTCCTTGGAGCTCTTGATCTCTTGTCAGTAGAGTTCATAATGAGGCATGGCATCTACTGATTAGAGATCAGAGCAATCCTACCTTACCTTCAGGAGCTACAAAACTCCTAATCGTTACGAGAGGGAGCCTTGGAGCTCCTGAAGCTCATCAGCAGAGGCTATTTACCATTTGGGCCTCTTCTGATGAAAGATGCGAAACACGTCTACGAACCAGGAGCTTCAAAGCTTCTAATCCTTACTAAAGGGAGCTTTGGAGCTCCTGAGTCTCCATCAACAGAGTCCCAGATGGTAAATGTCCTTTGCTGATGAAAGATGCGAAACACATCTACGAACCAGGAGCTCCAAAGCTCCTAATCCTTACGAAAGGGAGCTTTGGAGCTCCTGAAACTCCTTTTACTATAAAATAGGACAGTTTTCTTCTGAGGTTCTCATCAAATCTAAGACTTCAGAAGAAAGCTGTCCTATCAATGTATACTTACACTCTCATGGACTACAAGTGTACAACTTTAAGGCAGGGATTATCCGAGGCCTCTCATCAAATGAGGGACCTCGGATAATCTCTACCTTAAGTAGTCAAATAACTTTTCTCACTATTTAGGAACAAAAGAACAAGAGTTGGAGTACTTTAAGGCAAGATTCTTCCGAAATCTCTCATCGAATGAGAGACTTCGGAAGGACCTTGCCAAATCCTTGAACGCCAATATCCTTGGAACTGAGCTAGAACCAGGGAGAAGTAGCATACTATAGAGCACGATGGTAATCTCGGAAATGCTTATATCGCCTCAAGCACAATATTTAAGAAGTCTAACTCATATATACAAGAAGTCAGGCTGAATAGATATTGTGCATATGGTTTGCAGAACTCTCATGATATTTCAAATTCATGTTATCCCAAAAAGGTGACACTTTGGGTGTATCGTCCATCCCAGGGATGCAAAAATCACATCACCTTGGATCTATACTTCAAACACTCTGCTCGTTTGTGACGACTTCGCCGGAAAAGGTTTAGTGTCAAAGCCTGACTCACCATTAGCTAACATCATTACTAAAGTCAGACATTACCACTTAACTGTAGCAATACTTATGCAAACATGGCGTTTCCTTGCTTTA